GGTATGATGGACTCAGATCAACTGATTCGGGGACGATTGGATTAATCTGGGTGGACGTAATCATAGGCACCTGATTTAGGTACGGCTATACCTGATCCAGATATGCTTACCCAAGGCGAATCAGGATCAAGTAAACAAGGTAAGCATTCGGCGGTATACAGCCAGATCTGAAGATAAGCGGCTGCTGAGAAGGAAGGTGCATGGGTTCGGGTAGTAGGGGATATGGCAAACCAGGATCAAAAGCTTAGGAATAACAGAGAATCCAGAGAATCAAATTTGCATCATTGGGCACAAGTGGCTGGTTTCTTTATTTGATCCACACTTAGTGCATTATGAACACCTCGGATCAAGACATATATCGTCCCTACAAGGTGATCTCGTATTAGGAATATTTCATTTAGTGTAGTTTGGATAACAGGATAATATATTGGCCAAACCCAACTACCTAATACTTATTCTATACGTGCAAAGCTCCGGATCCACGATATTTAGTGCTTGGCCGTGTGATCCATCGATCTCTCAACTCCCCCAAGATCCAGTCATAGGAGACCACAAGCAACTCAAAGGGATCGCAAGATCAACCCAAGTCAACACCTACACGGCCGGATCCAAGATCACCGGTGATCCACGTTCGACAACTCACGTGGACTACGGATCAACTTACCTGGCAGCAGAGCGAAGACTTTCCGCAGTGTTACCCACATCCCTGCGTCTCGCCACGACATTCAAGATCTTCAAAACTTGGACCTCTCCTGCAGTTACCGGAGGAGCAAGATCCAGCCCTACGGACAGCTACACAAGGTGAGGAAGTTCTGCTGATCACGGACCAACAGGAGTACCCCGTCCTATAATCGGTGTCCTGGGCACAGTGGCAAGCAGGATCGAGCAGCCTCAAGAATTTTGCTGATCCCGCTCCACCACAATGGTGCGCGTGCCCGGATCTTCTGGTGACTCGGGATTTCACCGTGAGTCTCAAGAAGAAGTTCAACTGAAGACTGAACAAGGGAACGAGATGTCGTCATATCGACGACGACATCGCTGAACGCTAGATCTGCGGATCGGCGGAGCGCCAGGAGGAACTCTGTCGACGGAAGTGAGGCCGATCTGAATCTCGATCCAGATCTGGAAAAGAAACCTCATCCTCCTAAGGCTTCTGATATGGAGACCGCTGCGGATCCTGACTCGCGTCAAGATCCGCTAACAAAACAAACAAAGGTGAAGCCTGAACCCTATTCATTCATTGATCCGGATAAGTCAACACTATATCTACCCAAGGACACGCACGTCTCTGGATCCGAGGTCGGGAATCCAAGATCCAAGACTGTGCGGAAGAAGATGAAAGCGCCAGATGACGAGGAAGACGAAGATCACCACGGAACTGGCTGGGTTGAAGAAGATCTGAAGTCTATATATCACCGCAAGGAGCTACGTGACTTCGTGGACCAGGATTCAACGTTGCGGATCCTGAAACTCAAGCGGATCGCAGATCCGAAGGAGCCTGTGACTGCTCCCGCAACACTGCCAACAAATTTGATGCAGCGATGGAGCTGATCCGCCTGTTGAAAGAAGCTGGTATAGTCCCGGGATCCTTCGACGCAGACGCTCTGTTTGACTTGGATCTCAATGATATCCAAGCCACCAGTCGCGATATGTTCCAGATGTTGAGGATCCTAGTCGGCGAGGTGCCCCAGAGCCCAGATCCACTGCCATTGACCACGACCGACGTCGCTGACAACTTGACAGTGTCATCACATTATGCGTCAGCCGCGGAAGATGGATCCGACACTTCCTCGGAGCCACCGCGACGGATGTCCCTAGGACCCTCTGGAGCATCGTTGCTGGAACCGAGATCCAAGATCCGTCGCTCTAGTCCAGCTAGAATCAGTCGCCGCGATAATGGATCCGCACCGACGGATCAAGCCACAGCCACTGAGAGTTCGGATCGATCGGTCGGTACCCTGCAGAAGTTCTTCAATGCTGCGATGGACCGATACTTGGCCGAAGAACGGGAGGAGAACAAAGGCCCAACTACTACGCAGCCACAGCATCAAGGATCACAAGATGTCGAGATGGAATCCATTCGATCCTCCGACCGCGGATCTTGATGGGAGTACGATCCCGACGATGTAGACTTTCCAACATCTGCACAGGCCACAGTGGCCACCGCTGCTGCGGGATCCACAAGTTCCACCACGATACAGCGTGTTCGGATCTCGGTGATCTCGGACCTCAAGGAGTTTACTGGCAAGGATCAACACGAGGATCGAGCGCGGGCGTGGATCAGCAAAGTCAAGGCTGCGTTTATGCGAGATCAAGCATCTGACAATGAAAAGTGCTTGACCTTCGCAGATCTTCTCGCTGGTTCTGCGAAGAACTGGTATCGACAGTTGAGTAGACCTACTCGCAACAAATGGAGCGATCTGCGCCGCAGTTTCCAGATCCAGTACTATGGGCTTGGAGTATCGGTAGCAAGACAGTACTACCATACGCCACGTAGATCCGACGAATCGCCACTGGACTACTGGTATCGACTCAACATGGCGGAACTCCGTGCGCGACTGAAGATCAAGGATGGCGGCGCGAAGGATCGACGCGAACATGTGAATCATTACATCGAGACGCTTCAGGATCAAGATCTAGCAGAACGATTAACCTTGCTACGGTTGCCTGACGCGAACGATCTTGAAGAAGTCCTTCGCGCTCGGGATCGCGCAAATAATCGTTAGAAGAAACTGCGTTTGGATCTAGCAAGTATCGCCAGAAGACGACCAATACGGCCTCCTCCGCTCCAGCGAAATAAGTACGTGCAATCCAGATCCAAGCTAACGACTCTGGATCCGCCATCGAATCCGACGGATTGGGTGGATCCGACTCTGACATCGACAGTTATCGCAGGACCTTCCTTGCAGCGAACGAAGACGCCACCCCGAAGGTGGAAAAGGAGTCGATGAACCTGGATCCACGACGTCCGGACCGTGATCATGGCCATCAGGATCACAACTCGAAGACCCACGGTAATGGTTTTAACCGCGATCGATGCTCGCACTGTGGATCAAGAAGTACTAGGATCTTGATTGCTGGAGGCGTGTTACATGTACAAAGTGTGGCAAGAGAGGAAACCCCTCGTATTACTGCCTCTTCGTGTCTCGCGGATGTTGAAAACTGCATTACATGGGAAAATGTCCGATGGAAGAGTTCTACAACCAGATCCGCCAGTGATTTAACCCCACGAAGAACATGGGTATGCTACCCGAAGCTGCTGAGAAGATGTTAAACAAGGACGCTCGTCGGGGTGGAATCCAATACGAGCCGAGCGTCCTAGATATTGCATCTATGCATTTGTGAACAAGACATCGGTAGATCAGATTAGTAAACAACCAGATCTACACGATAATACATGTGATCTACATGGGAGAGACATACCTTCGCAATTTCAAGTCTTCGTCAAGTCGACGAGAATGCCAGATCCGAAGTCACCATGAGTGTGGATCCGGAGAGTCAAGAAAATATTGGGGACATCAAGATCCAGATCTATGGTTTAAACCTACAGATCATGAGGTTACTCCGTAGATCCAGAGGCCTAGCAAAGGTCGCGCAGTACCGACGGTCAACTTCCATGGATCTACTACCCGGAGAATCTCGTGGTTACTAGAAGCATGATTCGCCAGGGAAATGGTTTCGTCAAGCGACGATCACAGGCAAGATCCACAATGAGAAAGCGATCTTACTCTTAGATACTAGTGCCGAGGTGTCCATCGTGGACGCCACCTTTGCTCGTAAGGTTGGGTGCTATATCGACTCGAGTGAGATCCAAGATTGCGTGGGAAATGGCGGTAATGTGTACCAAACAGAAGAAAGAACCCGGATCAAGGTGACTCTCGCTGGATCATTGGTATATTTCTTCGATATCTGGGTTGGGTATATGACGGACCAACAAGCTATACTCGGTATGGATTTCATTGTTCCAGCCGGGATCCATCTCGATCTAGCTCATGGATCGATCCGTTTGCCGGATGAAGTCCGGAGCCAACTTAGCGGAAGACGGCAGCTCTATAGCGACAAGGCGAAGATCGTAAATGTCGGCCAATACCTTCAGATCCAAGCAGGAGGGTCGGTGGAGCTGCCATTACGCCTGAGGTCGTCGATCCACGACAAGCTGTGGGTCACATGCGGTGATCGATGGGTGCCCACAGTATCCGATGCGCCAGGGAGGACAAAGTACATATCGTTCACCAACGTCGGGGACGAGGTGTTGATCCTGCATCAAGACCAGCGGATCGGTATCTGGCTGACCGTTGATCATCTGCCGCGACTTCCGGGTTTCATCTCGATCAGGTCTCGTCGTTACATGGAGTGGCAGAGCTTAGCGTTAGAAGCCAAGACAGACGCTCGATCCGAAGATATGGTGAACGAAGCCCCACTGGAGCCCGCAGTAGAGCGACACGAGTACAAAATTTCGCGCACAATACTCCAGTGGCCGAAGCTGACGTCGATCAAATGTCGGTAGATCGAGGCGAGTCAGGATCCAGACGTTCCCGACTGCCTGCCTTCGCATAACTCGCCGTCGGATAAGTCGCCGTCGGACAAATCGTCATCGGAGATTCGACCGTTGGATCTAGCATCTGTCCCAAGTGAGGAGTCAGATCAGTCGTTTATCGCAGATGGAGACTCTATATCGCATGTCGTAAAGGTCAAGGAGACGCTGAAAGATCTCGATCAAGTAACGCCAGACGCTTAGGCGACCGATCCGGCGTTGGAAGAAACTACAAGTGCAGTGGAAGCACGAGAAGAGAAAGGTCGATATGGAATTGGAGCCGCCAACCAGGATCAACTACATCTGAGATGTCAGGATCAAGGAACATCACCGTCGAAATGCGGTGGATCAGATCCGTCATCAATGCTGAGTGTACAATCTGGGACGGGACATGTGGCCAGTGATCCGTTGAACGACAAGTGCGTCGCGTCTATGTCTCAAAAAACAGACATGAATCCATCACCTGATGTTGAAGATCAACCAGGCGTCGGCTCCGGACCTCACCTGGGACTCAAATCAAGATTATGATGAATGTGTATACTACCATGAAGGAAGGTATCTGTACGCGGAAGATGTCGACGGTCAGATGGAGGTACTGCCTGAAGTGCCCGTGACGACGGAAAATGTGAAGATCGAGGACATTCAGCTATGTGGATCTGATAATCAGACCCCAGAAGAAGTTGATCGACTTCGCCAAATGATCTGGAAGTTCCGACATCTCTTGATCGGCAAAGGAAATGCCCTTCCGCCGGCGGCTAGAGGTGTGGTGTGCGATATCGATGTCGGGAGGAGTGAAACCTATCGCCCTGAAGTGCCGTAAGTTGCGGATCCAGTTCAGGGAGAAGCTGGAAGACTTGATCAAGGGTCTATTGTCCGCCTAGATGATCAACTACTCTAGATCACCGTGGGCTTCCCCGATCGTAGTGATCATTAAGAAGAATGGAGTGGATATCAGGTTGTGTATCGATTTCCGGCTGGTTAACAGTCTACCTCAGCTGATGACCTACCCAATGCCTTTGATCAACGACCTACTTGAGGATCTGGAGTCGACACTTTGGTACTGTTCTTTGGATATGACGAATGGAGTTTGGTTAGTGAAAATGACATATCGTGCTCGTTTGATCTCGGCTTTTATCACTCTTTTTGGACTATTTGAATGGAATTGAATGCCCTTCGGCTTGAAGAATGCGCCTCAGATCTATCAACGTATGATCGACACGTGCTATATGGATTTACCCGGATCCCAAGTCCGAAGATCGCGGAAGTACCCTATATGTGTTTGAGGACGGGGAACCGGTGAATCCAGGCAAGCCATCGGTGCTTGGGCGTAGATCATACATCGACGACATCCTGATCCCAGCCAATAACTGGGATCAACTATATGATCGAGTTGAGGTTTACTCGAAGCGTGTACTAAGTAGAACCTGTCGATCAGTTTGGTTAAGCGTTTCTGGGGAATGTCTAAGATGGTCTATCTCGACCATAGGGTCTCCCACAATGGACTGGAGGTGAATCCGAGGGATCTGTCGGCATTGACTGACCTAGCATTTCCAGGATCACTAAGAGCCATGCAGTCATTTTTGGGAAGTCTGAACTACTACAGCCGGTTTATCGAAGAGTACGCGATCTATGCGTAAGTTCTGTATGAATTACAAGATATCAACTTCGATGCGATGATATTGAACACCACCCGGGCACGGATCCAACGAGTGTTTGAGGTGGGGAGTGTGGATCAAGGATCACAGGAAGATCAAGTGATCGACCATCAAAAGACATTGGCCCTGGAGGCGCAAGATCTCACGAAAATGGATCCGCGTTGTATCCACGCCTACTGATCTTTCAGTGTGCTTAAATCCAAGGTCGCCACTACTCCAATATTGCGGCATTTTGATCCAGATCGAAGAGCTACGGTTGTGGTGTATGCAAGTGACTGGGTCATTTCAGGATCTTTGGTGCAGGAATATGACGAGATCTACTACCCCGTGATGTTTGCGAGTCGTACTTTGACGTCAAACGAGCTGAATTATGGCATCGCGGAGAAGGAGGTACTGGCCTTGCTGAGGGTCCTGGATCTTAACTATAATGCTTTGGTCGGGCGTCCGATCCATATGTTGACCGGACACTCTACTTTGGCGTGGCCCTTCCGATCCACAGCCTTGCAAGGACGTTTAGGTCAGTGGGCTGCTCTACTGTTGCCGTAGACTCTCGAGATCACCAAGTGTGTCAAGGGTGAGGATGAAATCCTCGGAGCATTGGCGGTGAGTATTACGCCTAGATCAGAAGTGGATAAGGCATTGATCTTGATTGCCCCTAAAAAGGAGTTGCGGCGCAAGATCCAAGCTCCGATCCTCACTATTGGGCGCGACCAGGATCTGTATGCCGTTAGTTTCGATGGATCCGCCCGAGTCAAGAGAGGTGGAGGTGCCTACAGCGCGATCTTGCGGAAATTACCTGAAGAAGGGTGTTAAAGGCTAGATCTGGCTACGCCGCTTCTAATAGTGAACGAAGCAGAATATCATGGGTTGCTATTGTGTTTGGATCAGCTGGAAGATTTGGATCCACGACGTCTGGAGATCTACAGAGACTGGAACCTGGTGATCTGCAAGTGCGAGGTGAGATTGACTGTAAGACACCGGGTCTGCCACTGCTACGCTAGAGGGCTCTGGATCGACTCGAACATGGCCGGATCACGAGCTGTTGCATGTTAAACGAGACTGGAATGGGAGTGCCGACAGCTTAGCAAGTGCCGCGCTGCAGCGGCAATGTGGGATCAAGGTCGAGTCTGAGAAGGAGATCCAGGATCTAGTGACCTTTAACCGGTTGGATGAGATTCTGGTGGTGAAGATGGAAGATAAGGCCGCTCAGATATCTGCCGTAACTACCCGATCTAACGCGAAATCTGGGGTGCGAGCTGGGTCTGGCCCAGACTCATTACCGGAGGAGGTTGGGACAGAACAGCGGATCGAGCGGATCCGGCAAGTACAGGATGAGGAGTCGTGAATCTCAGGACTGAAGAAGTATTTGGGAGAGATCCGAGATCTGACGCAAGAAGATGCCAAGGTGTTTGGATCTATTGTCATGAATTATGAAGTGAATCAGTTGGAACTACGCTTCTATTGTCCGACAACTATGGAGGCAGCTGCGGATCGAGATAAGTTGATGCGACTGGTGGTGCCTGAGACGCTCTGACAAGATATTTTGCATCGCTATCATACGAGTCTGCAGGGTGATCATCAAGGAATTGGTCGTCTCTGTGATAGGATCCGCGACCACTTCCACTGGAGAGGGCTGTATAAGAGCTTAAAGCGATACGTAGGGGAATGTGTTGACTGCGAGAGAGGCAAAGGACGACCTCGGATCCAAGGTGAGTCGCCTGGTAACCTTCACGCAACATACCCGTTCCAGGTCATCGCCATGGATCACATACCGTCGCTCCCCAGATCTTTCAATGGCAACACAGAGTTGTTGATCTTCGAAGATCTATTCTCGGGGTACGTGATTGCCAAGGCCAGCGCCTCTAAATCTGCATAGACGATCGCTGAGACTTACGAAGAATGCGTTTCCGCAGATTTGGCGCGAGCGAAGTGATCCGGCATGATCGAGAGCCAGGCTACATGTCTGACCTCTTCAAGTCTTTCAACAAGATCTTGAGTCAACGCCAACGTGCTACTATGGCTTATGGCCCCAAGCTAATGGATCCGCAGAGCGTATGCTCCAGACAACCACGAGGGCTCTCAAGATGTATGTGCAGGATCTGGATCAACGTGATTGGGATGAATACGCTGAACGGCTCACCTTCGCGATCAACACCGCAAGAGGTCGGATCCGAGGTGAAACTCCTTTCTACATGATACGTGGTTGGGATTCTAGATCCACTCTGGAAGCGGTGATCCCAGTGGGGAGCACTCGCAGGCACGATCGAGATCCAAGAATGTGGCGATATCAGATGCAAAAGCATTACCAACAGGCTCGGGAACAAGTTAACCAACGTTTACGCGAGGCAATCGCGGATCGAGCCGACACGCATAATGATCTGGTACGACCACACCCTGTGGAGGCTGGATCAAGAGTCTGGTTGTACTTGGATCGAGTGCGTGAAGGATGTGCGAAGAAACTGGCGCACTTATGGCACAGGTCTTTTCGTGTCGCTGAGAAGATTGGAGAATATGCAGTGAGGTTGAAAATTGCAGGATCCACGTACAGCATCTTTCCGGTGGTACACGTGTTGAAGATCAAACCGGTCAGGATCTTTCCGGATCGACCTTTAGCTCGCCTAGAGCAGTCAGATGCAGATCGAATTGACTTCGATGAAGCCCTTTTACCTCAAGACAGTTGGATCCAAGATTGAGCCCCAGATGAATATGAAGTAGACCAAATTTCCGATATGAGGATTGGTAAAAGGACAAAATATGGACGGATTTATCGACAATTCCTGGTACACTGGCGTGGATGCGAAGATCCGACTTGGTGGACGAAGCAGACCTTAACAGCAGTGCCTTACTCTATGAGGTTCTGCGAGACCACACCAACCGTAACAGGTTTGGTGTGATGCAGTCTCATGAAGAACCGTGAGATCTGGATCCACACTAATGAGCTGGTCATTGGTGTGGCTGAAGGTCGATGGATCTGCAAGGAGGCTGTAGATCGGAGGACAGATTTTACATAGCATTGTATATGACGAGGTACCGAGTGAGGATCTATGTGGAATAAGTTTGATTCAGGGGTGGATATGGGAGTGGACGAAATTGAACGCTGAGCGTGGATCTAACACTAGATTATCTGTAAAACTATGGATCGAATGACGATTGATGAGGGCCGAGATGTTGGATTGAAGATCTGCGCGAAGCAACAGGATAAGGACTTAGCGGAATCGAAGGATGCCAACGAACCAAGATGAGAGAATAAATCAATATGTGTTCTGTTAACGGCTATGATCTCGACAGATCGTGTCAAAAGAAGTCTGGATCACTGCAACGGATGAAGCGGTGGCGCATTGGGATTCAATGCCGCCACGTTGAAGAACTTGGCCGTCAAACGTATGATCCGACGAGCGGGGTGGTTCGCGTGGTGTAGCCTATAGTGTGTACGCCAAGGATCAGCAGCATCACACTCGGCGAGAGCCTCGATCAGGGTTGCCGGTTCACGACGGTGTAACTGAGGATCCGCGAGGTTAGCTCTACGAGCTTCAATGCCAGGATACCAGGCCACTTCATCCGGCCGGTTTGGGACGTGGAGGAAATATAGATCCAGCAGCAGGTCCAGGTCACACCAACCCTCGCGCATGGTGATCAAGAAGTGCTGCAAAAGTTGCTTCCACCTGGCGCCAGCGTGAAACAGCGATGCTTTCTCTCCACGACAAAGAACGTGAAATAGGGATCGCTGCGCACCAATGCCGGTGAAACCGGAAAGCGATGCGAAGACTCCCAATACGCGATCAGATCCTGGAACTCCACCGCGGAAAATCTCTTGATCAGGAACCCCAGGCGACCGTCGACCGTGAATTAAAAAGACATTGGCTCGGGTATGTTGGCACCGGTGAGGACGTTCCAGGGTAGATAAGCCATGAGGTCGCGGACGTTCTGGCCCGTGATCAAATGACTACAGTACTGGTCCGATCTTGGGGTGGCTGCTCGAGGGACGTGATCAGAGAAGATCCATTCAGGGCGAAACGGTAGCGCTCGAGATAGCACCTCCAGGGTCATGGTCCTGATTGTCCGAGTGTTAATCCGTTAGATCACCCACGTATCCACATCAGTGATGTTGTATTGACGGGTCTGCTAACGGCCAGGGGTACACTCATTATCTGCAGCGAACTGGCGTCGTGGAAGCATCGTGGAGGGGAGAGGCACCCCAGTCGGATCCGTAGGAGTTCCGCCGCCGCTGACATCACTTGAAGCATCACCATCAGAATCACCGCCCGATCCAGAATCTTCAGCTCCGCCTGCACCAGTGCGACGAGGAGCAGCATGATCGCGTCGTCGCTGCTCGGATCGCGTTCGAGAGAGAGCCATCAGCGTCTGTGCCTGTAGCATATCACCAAGGACTTCGTCATTGTCGCCTTCGGCCGAATTCTTTGGCGAAGTGTCGACATTCGCTCCTTGGCCCTCTTCCGCCGGATCTGCATTCCCAGGGAACTTGGGGTCACTCGTGGATCGGGACTTGGACTGGGGAGTCGACTTGGAGGCAGGATCCGAGCCAGCGGGAACACCAGACTTCCCCGATCCGCCCGTCCCGTAGGTCAAATAGCGTGGTTCTTGAATTAGAGGAGGACTTGCGTCGCCGTCGTCTTTCTCCAGAAGCCGATCGAGCAGGCCATGACCCTGATCCGGCGTCTCCTCGACGGCAGAGCCTCCACCCATGTCGTAATTATCCGGATCTTCATCGCGATCCAAGTCCCTCTTGTGATCTTCCGACATTGGGGGCTTGCGCTTCGAGGGACAATCCGCGTCCTGGGAAGGTGAGGAAGTGCAGGATCGCTTGCCTGGCAGAAGATCCTGACGTTTGTCGCTGGAGGAGGATCCATCAGAATCATTGGGCGGAGGCGTGTAATCAGGATCACGATCAGGCTTCTCTTGGCCCGACTTCTCCTGATCAGACTTCTCCGGATCCGACTTCTACGGGTCGTCGGGAGAACTGCCAGATGGATCGTTGGTAGAATCCGTGTCGAGACTGAGCTTGGTAGTCGGAGGACTTGACCCCATCCCGGCGGCCACGGTAGCTAACATCTCTAACGCTGTGCGCAATTCGCGCCGCAGATTCATGCGCTCCTGATTGAGGTCGGCCAGTTGGCGATTGAAAGCCAGGATCTTGGCCTTTTGGTCGGAGATCGAGCTCTCCGCGTTCGCGTACGCTGTTCGGGCGACGGTGACGTTATGCTCTATGGAAAAAGAAAGGAGTTAGCGAGATGGTACGATCCGGATCTAGAATGAGGAACGTACTCAAATCTTCGTTCTCATCGCGATATCCCTTCTCGCGCTTGACGGCCCCGGCGAGATTAACGCGCAGAAGCTCACAGTGTGGCTTCTCGCGCTTGGTCTCTTCAGTACCGTTTTGGATCTGATCTTGGAGTGCGTCGGCCTCACGATCATTGGCCTGGGCTTGGATATTCAAGGTGTCACGCTCTTGAGAAACCTGATCGAAGCTACTTTGAAGATTGACGCGCTCAGACGTTAGGTGATCCAGATTAGCTTGGAGATTTGGAGACGGCTGATCCGGCGAGACTGTGGCTGCGACTTGCTTGGCGACCTGCAGACCTGCCTCAGTCTGATCCAGGGCCAGACATGTGTGGCGAAGCACTGCTTTAGTGACTTGCAGCTGGTCAGCGGCTTGATCACGGGCGCGATCCGCTTTGCCGCGCTGCTCCTGCAGATCCAGGACCTCCTCACCAGCGTGTGCTCGCTCTGAAGAGGATGCTGAGAACGCCGACACTTCATATGTACCATCCAACGCTGAGCAAGGCGCTACACAACACGATGAAGAAAGCTTGCAGCAACAACACGAAGAAGAACATGAACGCCGTCAAGAACAATTCTATCAGCAGGAACAAGAACAAGTAGAGAGCGAAGTATCAAGCCAAATGCAGTGTAATCAATATGGCTTCATTGTTCTAGAATTTTTACCTAAGTCTTGCTCGTGGCGTGCGTTTGAAGAAGAACTTGATAATTACACAACGCAAACAAACCAGCAGGCAGCCATCGCTGAAACAATTTCTATCACGAAGAGGAATTCAATCCTAAAGAAGCAAAAACGGTATCGGAATGTCCCTAGTGACGTCCCGATAATACCTGCTGTTCTTAAGGGCCCATACCAGCGTAAATACATCTGTTCTTAGTAGACAAGTATGGGGCACAAAGTTCCTGCAACTTTTCGGTTGCAAATACAAAGTCGCATTTGCCTTTGCAATTCCGTCGATAATGACTGCAACGATACGTTAACTTGTTCGGATATCTGTTGGCTCTGGTATACTTGTATCCGTCAATCCACCTTGTAGTACGTCCATCTCGACGGGTGTGCAGTTGATGATCACCTTCTTGTTGACGGAATTCGCTTGAATCACCAACGGAAGCGGAAACGCCATTCTCAGATAGGTCATTAAGCTCGATATCGTCGAAATCACCATAACAATATTCAAATTCCGCATAAAAACCATTATCATACGAGATCATTCTTGTGGTTTCGTCGTTTTGATCGCTTTCGCTACTTTCAGTCATAGGATTCAACAAAAGATCCATGTTGATAGAACCTCGAGAAAGTGTGTTCGCCAACACTTCTGCATTTATATACACAACACACAGTTTATATTTCGATAAATTCTATATCAAATATGAGCATATATATGATAGCGTACCAGCACGTGAAGCTTGTGTTATTTCTTTGGCGAGACCAGTAGATCTAGCTAGTAGCGCAGTAGAACGGTCTTGATAGTTTTACATGGATGCTGTATAGCGTACCAGCACGTGAAGCTTGTGTTATTTCTTTGGCGAGACCAGTTGATCTAGCTAGTAGCGCAGTAGAACGGTCTTGATAGTTTTAAATGGATGCTGTCCAGTGAAATGCATATTTTGGATTAATACCAAACTTGAATCAAAGTCCATTTGCTAAACTCTCTTACATGTATCTACGGCCGACACAGGACATTTTGCTGAGGAAAGCGGGTGTTCCTCCTAGTTGACCCTGCAGCGGTTACCCTTCTTCGTGATGTACGTGAAATACGAGCTCCCCGTGGAACAGGTCTAGACGCCCTCAGCTGGCGTTCCAATGAGGAGTGTCTCTCCATGGAGGAGTTTCTGTAGCGAGTGTAGCTGCCTCCAATACCGAGGCCCTTAAGTATGTTTATCCGTTACATTTTCTAATCTGTATAAATGCCACCTGCAGCACTACGGATAGTATATCACTCTATTTTATAATAAAAGTCGCCAGAAGCACTATGAATATGCTATCACTATGTTGCCGACTGCAACATTTCTGATGACAATGATCTTATTTGCATTAATATATTGCCCCGACTGCAACATTTCTGATGATAATATTCTTATTCACATTGACATACTGCCTCCCACATGGTACATATAGACAACATGACCTACAATGACCTGACCTAACGCTGACCTGTTTTGCGCTCTTCCACATGTAAATGCGGCTGTCTCGTTTTCATGAGCCGAACACTCGAACTTGTGTACAAACTCGGTGACGCCCTTATGCTTGTCGTGATTCAATAATTTTGTCTTTCCGCAGTGACACGCGAAATTTTGCACCTTGAAAGACTAGGGAGTGAATCCATGTCCACTCCAAACTTGCGGGGCATTCTAATCCGGGAAGGTTTGATACCCTGTGCTGTCATCTCACGAATATATGTCTTGTGGGTTTCCGT